CTAGTACAGTCCCCGTGCGATGCACGGGCTTTATTATTTATGTCTTTTTAAAAGACAATTTTGTTTTTAAATTATAATTATATAATAAAGGAACCATCATGACATCAGTTAATAGCATGTTTAAATTAATTATTTTTTATATATCTAGTAATTTTGCAATTAATGCTATACATGTGGTAATTTTGCACTAAAAAGTGATATATGTTGTACATGGTGTAATTTTTTTTTATTGCAAACGGCCCACAAACAGAGAGTCCAAATACAATTCGGTTAAAAAAAAGGATCGAACGGTTGACAATAATCAACCGAAATGTACGTGTGAGATCGACCCTATAATAGCATTTGGTCGGCATAGGTTTAGGCTTGCCATTTGCGCCACTTCACTCTTACCTCTCCTCACGTTTCATCTTCGAAATTTTCTATTTTTGTTGAATTTAAGACATGAAATTCGATTTTCTTACTTAGTTATGCTTTCTAGCTCAAGTATCATTTTCGATTTTGAATTAGCACACTGAAATTTTGTAATTAGTTAATATATGATTAATTTTTATTCAGTATTATGTATTCCTATTTTTTCATGAATTATAATTATTTTGATTTCATATGTTTGTATGATTTTGTTTAGATCGTTTTCAGTTTTCAACAAAATGCAAGTTTCATCTGCGGTCTTCACTTTTCAGACAGAAAATGATTTTTTTTTTTAAAAAAAAAAACTTCTCATTTTAACTCGACTTTGATACCCGGATTGATTTTTTTTTTTTGTGCTCGATCTGGAATTTTGATAACGAAAATTAGATTTTTGCTGGTTGAACTGAAACAGTGAAAACAATGAGAAATTATAACTGATACTTTTTCAGTACATATTTGTATAGTATTGAATAAGAGAGTAACCAAAAAATAAAAGAATGTGGACAAAGCTAATTAGAGGAAGAAATAGTAAGTATTTTCTCGTATTTTATATAATTAGAGGAATAAATATTGAATATTTTCCCGTAATTTATATAATTAGAGGAAGATATAGTGAGTATTTTTCCCGCAATTAATAAATTATAAACTCTAATCAATAAAAGAAGTTATATATGAGTAAACTAAGCACGTGGTTGTTGCATTGAGGTTAGAGATAAGCATAAATGGTATTGAGATTATCATGGAATTATTTAATATTCTCACATAAACAATAGATAAACATAAAAGTTAAACATGTGTGTAATACTTATTTTATTTTGACCTGTGTGATTTTTGTAGGTTAAAGATAACAATAAAAGGTTATATGTTATCTCAATAATGCATTCAATATGAACTGTTATGATGAAATGTAGATACTGAAATTAGCTATGTTTACAAACTCAACATTATTTACATTGTCGCTAGTGTCATATATCTATGGACTATTTTTAAATTATTAAATACATTTTCTTGTATGCATAAACATGTTACAATCTAATTAATAATGTCTTATACATGCATGACTTGAAATAAACATCATCAAGCAGGTGCGCAAAAGACAAAAGACTTGACTCAAACATGTAGAGGCAAGTTTATATTTACAATATTAGCTTCACTTTGTCAAGTTTTCATACATTATTTTTAAAACCAACAAATGTTGATAACTTATGTTAGTCTTATTGTTTCCTTTGTCAAATTTATATTGAATTATTTTCAATATTATATTCCACCCACCTACCCCCCAAACAAAAAGAAAAATAAAATATTGGAGTAATAATCTAATTCATTTTTCACCAAAAACATATTTATAATTGTTTTTGTTTTCTTAAGTTTCTGTTCGAGAATGATGGAAACAGAAGAAATTGACTTAGAAGGTTATATATATATATATCAATAAAATCGTAGGTAAGAAGGTAAATCGAAAAAGATATATCCTAGATAAATTTTAGACTATTAGATTATTATTAGTATTTTAAGCAAGTCCGTAGGTAAGAAGGTAAATCGAAAAAGATATATCCTAGATAAATTTTAGACTATTAAATTATTATTAGAATTTTAAGCAAGTCTATATATATATATATATATATATATGTATATAATCTATGTGTATGTATTACCTTTGTTCGGGTCAGTCTTTGTTCGTTTTCTGATGATGTTGTGAACAATGTCACTATAGCTTTTCCCTCCAATTCTGTTCTTCACAACTTAAAGGTTCTTCACACACAAATCTGTCAGTTAGTCTGTACGTCTGCCAAAAAAAAAAAGGATGTCGCCATTAGATATTGAATAAACTGAACAAAGAAAAAGACTGTAGAAGGAACCGAGAGTATGAGACTGAATGTAATACGATGAATGCATTATAAATATATGATATTTATAGGGATATGATTAATATTCTATCGGATTCAACAGCTATCCGATATTTTTCATTCTGATATGATTAATATCCCATCGGATCCTATCCGATTTACTTGATTATGCTATGATGAGTTGGCAAAAATATGTAGACAATTTCGATGCAATATGTAGAAATTAATAAATTTGTGAACAAATGAAATCCTACAAAATCGGATCATATATCTGTTGGTAAAGAAAAAGAATAATTGCCAAACAAATTTGAAATTTGAAAAGCCGTCAAATCGTCGATTTTGTAGCTGCCCAAAAAATCTGTAGTTATCGTGAAAAATTGGTAACAACAATTCATATATAAAATTAATCAAAATCCTAGCAATATAGTTAACAAAATCTTATAACTTTGGTAAGATAATTTTGATCATTATCTTCAATATTTTGTAGTAATTATTAAAATTGTGAATATATAAAATCCCACAAAATCCGCTGAATTGGTTAAGAAAATCCGAACTAATTTTGATATGAGAGATTTATTACTTAAATTAATGATCTTCAAGAATTTGTAGCAATTATTAAGATTGTGAATATATAAAATCGCACAGAATCCGCTGAATTGGTTAAGAAAATCCGAACTAATTTTGCTATGAGAGATTTATTACTTAAAGTTATGATATTCAAGATTTTGTAGTAATTATTAAAATTGTGAATCTATAAAATCCCACAGAATTCGCTGAACTGGTTAAGAAAATCCGAACTATTTTTGCTATGAGAGATTTATTACTTAATTTTAATTTTAACGCGTGGAGCCCATTGGTGTTACTTAAATTAGTAAGTCAAAACATTATTTTCAAGTCAAACATATTATTTTTATATTTTTCCAACAACCTCTTTAGATTACTATAGATATAGATAAAATAAATACAAACAATAAAAATATATATTATTAAACACTTCTCTTTATACAATATATTTTGTTTAAGGAATATTATTAAACCTTACGGTTTTGATATATTTTTTTTTAAATCAATTATCCAATATATGATTGTTAACGTACAAAAAAAAAATGGAATCACTTCAGATTTTAAAGTAAAGTTATTTTTTATTATATTACAAATAAAAATCATCCAGATTTTTTTGATTTAAAAAAAATCGGCAAGTTTGTTAATGGGTTAAATCAAGTTATACAAATAATTAAAAATATTATATTAATTATATTTTAAGAAATCCGATTATATAAATGTGGGTAAAAAAAATTATACTAATTAGTTTGTTAGGATTGTGATTATATGAAAGTTAAGATAAAATGAAATATAACCAAAAAATATGTTCGTGGTTTTTTCCTTCAAATATTTGAATTTAAAAATCTAATAACCAAATTTAGATTATATCACACAAGGAATAAATAAATAATAATATTTATGAATATGTTTAGAACATTAATTTTGAATTTCAAATAGAGTAGAAGACGGAATCATTCAACGGAATTTTTAAAAAGTTTTTAAAGTGTTTAATATATTCTCGTAAATATACCCGTAAGAATAATTTTACTATTTTAATTTCAAAAATTTTGGCAAGTTTGTTAATAAGAAAAATTTGGTTAGACAAAAGATTAATTAGTTAAAATATGATATTAATTATATTTTAAAAATTCTTGCTAAATAATTGTATTAAATAATTTGTTAGAAATCTGATTATACGGAAGTTAAGATAAGATAAAATGTACAAAAAAAATCTACGTGTGATCCTTTCCTTTAAATGTTTGAATTTAAAAATTTAATACCAAATTTAGGTTATAAAATGTAATTGTGATAGTTGATGTCCTGTTAAATGTCGAGTTGTAAATTATAAAATGTAAACAAATTATTGTTTACGCATTAACAGATCCAAACAAATAAATTAATAAATAAATATTAATTAAGAAATCACGTCTGACATTGATTTAATTAATAAATGAATATTGATTTATGCATAAACAAATTAACGTAAATTACGCATTATTGTAAATTATTTGTAAACAAATTAAAACTAA